ACACCATAATAAACCACACCACATCAAACTACAACACAACACACTATACCTGACACCACACCACACCTCACCCATCACACCATAATAAACCACACAACATCAAACTACAACACAACACACTATACCTGACACCACACCACACCTCACCCATCACACCATAATGAACCACGCAACATCAAACTACAACACAACACACTATACCTGACACCAYACCACACCTCACCCATCACACCATAATGAACCACACCACATCACACTACAACACAACACACTATACCTGACACCACACCACACCTCCCCCATCACACCATAATAAACTACACAACATCACACCACAACACAACACACTATACCTGACACCACACCACACCTCCCCCATCACACCATAATAAAGCACACCACATCACACTACAACACAGCACATCAAAACACAACACAAGAAAAGACGTCATGCAAGGTTCACACCGGATTGTGCTTCTCTGACAAGTTGTCCTTCTATTCTAGTGGTCTGTTAGTTGCCTATCTGTCATTTCGTCACATGGAAAAAAGTAAAGGGAAGTTGAATTTATTTCAGTTTTATTTTCATCGATTTTGGAGGTAAGTAGATTTCATTGGATTTAAACTCCAACAAGTCCACTTTAAATTAAATATCATATTTGAACATTTTATATATTTACAATGTAGAGTCGTCAAATTCCAATACACCGAATCGAAATATGGCAACCAATTTGAATAACTATTGTACTGCACTGACTAGCGACTGACTAGCCTCGTGTTCACATGGAAACATTAAAGCGTTTTCACATGTATGAGAGGCTAGTCAGTGCAAAACAATAGTTATTCAAATTGGTCACCATATTTTGATTCGGTGTAAAGTTTCCGAGAAATAGAGCTTCAAATTTTGAAAACAATGGTACTTAAACCCCAAGATACCTTCGGCGGAGATCCGGGCATTAGTTATTTTTACTGGCTTATGTTTCATGTGTATCGTCTTTATTGTCTTTAGGTTGACACCAGCCTACATGTTTGTCATCCTGTTCTTTGACCAACTTCTTGGGTTTCTGGGAGAAGGGCCCCTGTGGTATCAGTTACAGGCTAATCAGCCCTGCGATAAATACTGGTGGACCAACCTCTTATATATCAACAACTTTTACCCCACGGAGATGGCGCAGATGGTAAGTATAACACAGGGAGCGTGATGAGGAATGTTTTTAAGAGGATTTCCAGGACTTTGGCTAGAGAAAGGGGGGTGGGTTGNGGGGGGGGGGGGGAGCAAACCGCCAATATGAAGCAGTGGGTGTTTAACATTTAAACCAATCCATCCAGTTGTTAATTCGTTTGCTATTGGTAAATAAAGAGCGAAGCTACCCGAAGGATTGAAAAGAGCGGAAAAAGTAGATTACCTTAATCGGAAGACCGCGTTTTACGGAACTTTCTGATCGGAATGATGCATGCCATTTGTTTTTCCATCCTGAATTTCTGGTTTTTCCGGGCGAATGGAATTAAAGCGCCCAATGACACCGTAGATTTGTGACGTGCTAACTGTGTTAATCCTAAGTCTATGACACCTCACAACTAACAGTTTTTGAGGCAGTCTTGGCCTGTATCCGCAGGCACCTCATCATTGTTTTGAGAGCACACGCGTGTTTTCTACTTTTTCATTAATTAGGACTACTGTTTTGTCTCTAGTGCATGAGTTGGTCATGGTACTTGGCTAATGACATGCAATTCTATGTCATCAGCCCTGTCATACTGGTTTTAGCATACAGGTATGTTATTACTTTACACGGTTAAGTTAGTATTGATTTGTGTGAATATTTTATCTCTAGTGCATGGGATGGTCATGGTACTTAGCTAATGACATGCAGTTTTATGTCATCAGTCCTATTGTATTAGTGTTGGCTTACAGGTATGTCACACATGGCTTTTAATCAGTAATGAACGAACGAACGGACGGACGGTCTAACTGATTAATTGATGGACGGAGGGAAGGACTGCCAGACTGAATGATTAATAGAAGGACAGACGCACACACGGACTGTCAGACTGAATGATTACTTGAAGGACGCACGCACGCACGGACGGACTGTCAGACTGAATGATTAATTGAAGGACAGACGCACACACGGACTGTCAGACTGAATGATTAATTGAAGGACGGACGGACGGACTGTCAGACTGAATGATTACTTGAAGGACGTACGCACGGACGGACTGTCAGACTGAATGATTACTTGAAGGACACACGGACGGACGGACTGTCAGACTGAATGATTACTTGAAGGACGGACGCACGGACGGACTGTCAGACTGAATGATTACTTGAAGGACGCACTGACGGACGGACGGACTGTCAGACTGAATGATTACTTGAAGGACGGACGCACGGACGGACTGTCAGACTGAATGATTACTTGAAGGACGGACGCACGGACGGACTGTCAGTCTGAATGATTACTTGAAGGACGGACGCACGGACGGACGGACTGTCAGACTGAATGATTACTTGAAGGACGCACTGACGGACGGACGGACTGTCAGACTGAATGATTACTTGAAGGACGTACGCACGGAAGGACTGTCAGTCTGAATGATTATTTGAAGGACGCACTAACGGACGGACAGACTGTCAGACTGAATGATTACTTGAAGGACACACGGACGGACGGACAGACTGTCAGACTGAATGATTATTTGAAGGACGGACGCACGGACGGACTGTCAGACTGAATGATTATTTGAAGGACGCTCGGACGGACGGACTGTCAGTCTGAATGATTACTTGAAGGACGCACGCACGGACGGACGGACTGTCAGACTGAATGATTAATTGAAGGACAGACGCACACACGGACTGTCAGACTGAATGATTACTTGAAGGAGCACGGACGGACGGACGGCCTGTCAGACTGAATGATTACTTGAAGGACGCACGGACGGACGAACTGTCAGACTGAATGATTACTTGAAGGACGCACGCACGGACGGACGGACTGTCAGACTGAATGATTACTTGAAGGACGGACGGACGGACGATGCGAACTAGCAAACCTACCTTATTAATGATTTATAATGATTTAACTTGCTTGACAATACATCTTAACATCTTGATATTGGCAAGGGCCCCCCCTTCAGTAGAAAAAACAAAACTGAAGAATTAGATGCTTTTTTTAATTGTTTTCCGTTGTGTTGGGGGAAGACAATCAATTAGCCCCCCTAAACTCAATTAGCCCCCCCCCCCCCCCTCTAAAATATTGGCTGGATCTGTCCTTGATTGGTACTTTTTGATTTCAGGTATGGTAAGAAAGGATTGATTGTCAGTGTTGGCAGTCTTCTATTGGGTAATTTCATCTCCACGGCAGTCATTATTGGCTATTACGAGTTTCAGAGTGGCAGTATTATTGGAAAGTAAGTGGAACTTAACTGGAAATTTTACTTCAATTTTATTTCAGTAAATTTTAATTTATCTTCATGTTAATATGCATTTTTTATATCAATGGTAATAGTTTTTGATATTTTTAAAGTTATTGTTTTGTTATTCATATTTATATTTTTTATTTATATTAAATAGTGCCTTTTTGGCTTTTAATGGTTTTTTTTTTTTACAATATACTTCATAATATATAAATACTGCACGTAAGACCAGTTCTGCAGTCACTACACTGGCTGCCAGTAGAGGAACGTGTCTATTTCAAGATATTGACCAATATTATCAATGACTTTCAAAGCTATTCATGGACTTGCAACACTGTACCTCTTTGAGCTAATAGAGTTTTTAAGCACAGGTACCTTACATATGCTAATGCGGTACATTTCTCGACTACGGTACGGTACGGTAATTCGTTGTCGACACCCTATTGTTTTCGATTGAATTTCGAATTCTCCTGATACCAAAAATCTCAGCTAACTCATCAAGTTGTGTAACTCCTTGAGTAAGTAAGTCCGTAACACCACAGGAAGCCAACGCACTTGAATAGAATGGTGAAAATAAACCAGTGCACGTTATCAGAACGTTAAAAAACTGGTAGCGTGATATCACAAACATAGCGGGAGCAGGTATTTTGCTGGATTTATTTTAGTGCAAATGGAGCTAAAAGCAAAAAAAACAAAAACAAAACAAAAACAAACAAAAAAACAAAAAAAAACCCCAAATTTTCCAGTCTTTCTACAGAAGAAATACAGACTTTTATTGAGAAAAAGGATTCGGAAAATACAAGAAAAAGCGGCTAAAAATCTTTTTGGTAGCGAAATAGACCGTATGCGAGTTGTATTTTTAAGATCAGTTTTCATGCTTTGAAATAGCTTTCTAAATCAATAAAGTTATATTTTGCGTAAACTGACCATAAAGAGAGAACATAAATAAGAGAGGGAAACGTCTTAATAACATATAAATTCCTCGTTGGGCTATTTTTAGTAACCAAATGCAGTTTAAGCTTCGACTTACCCTACCGCTGTGCGTCATTAACTTGCGCGCAAGTGCTCTTTCCGTTTATTGTTTTGATCCCTAAAAATATTGTCTCGGATCGCGTAATTCAGATTTCCTACCGACAACGTTTTTAAAACAGATGTAAGCATTCTTTTTCCTGCTTTTATTTGTAGTGCACAAAATCAAGCGCAGTTCCAAAACTACGTGTATATTAAGCCGTATTGCCGTATTGCACCCTACCTGGTCGGCATAGCTCTTGGGTACATCTTCCACATCATCAAAGACGAATCACCGAGGCCTTCTCAACGTTGGGTAAGACTTAACACCCTATCACTAAGTTTGTTTTATTTTTATTTTTCATTTTTTTAAGTCGATATTCTACAAGAACAGCCAGTTTAGGAAGGCTAGTTTCAGTGGAGTCGTAATATAACACAACAGTAAATTTACAGCAACATAAACATACTAGACATAACATGGACTTGATATATATAAATTAAATATTAAATACAATAAATTAATTCCCGTCTTTAAATAACCTTCTTTAACCATATTTGCTTAGGGTTACATTACTATACTATGCATTACCCCCCCTCCCCCTTATTCCAAACCATACCCTCACACCCCCGGCCCACCCCACGCGCACAATGCGATTAAGAGAGAATTCTTTTCGTATTCAAGCAGTGAGCGCCAAAAACTATTTTCTTGAAGAAAGGCTGTTGTACAAGGCTAAAATCTTGTTATTCAGAAAGTTTAACTTGTTTGGAAGTGGAGATGACCGATGAAAGTGGAATCAAAGTGTTAACCCAAAGCAAATATTTTATTCGAAAATGAGGTTTAGGCCTTCAATACATGATGACTATCATACATGATGATGTTGATGATATATGGTGATGATGATGAAAAACGTGATGCTGATGATCCACGATGATTATCATACATGATGATGATGATGATAATGATGATGATAATGATGATGATAATGATGATAATAATGATGATGGTGGTGATAATTTTTTTTCCTAACGATCTTAAAATTCAAAATTCGCCCCASTCTTTTGCTTGTTTCTAAAGTGGCCAGTACAAGCTCGTGTTTTTCGACTTCTTCTCCCGCTCCCAAAATCCAACGTATTAATGTCTTAATTCATAAATTAATGTTTAAATATTTTATAGATTATTTTAAGTTAATTCTTTATAAATGTTTTTAGTGGTTTCTGATACTTGGATGGTGTGCTGCTATAGTCATGGCCTTGGCACCCGTGTATGGTACATACAAGACTGTCAGGAAAGACAACCCTGAACCCCTCACCAAGACTGAGAACATCATGTACGGGACCTTTACAAGGTTCTCATGGGGCCTGGCACTAGCCTGGGTGGTGTACGTCTGTCATATTGGTTATGGAGGTAAGAGATTGGAAAATATATGCGATATCATAAACTATATAGCAAGGTTATTTCACCCGCCTTCATTGGCAAAATTACGGCCTGTATACATCTTATTAACTTCGCTTGCTCGGTCTTTACGTAACTAAGTTATGTAAACTCGTTTTCCCCAATTTTTCATGACCCGCGCGCTACGCGATTGGGGCATAAGGCAGTTGAAAAACCTCGTTACTTATGGACGGACACTGCACTGGGTTAATAAGAGCAATTCTTTATGTCTATTCTTCGTGTTCATGTGGCGTCATAAAGCCGCCATTTTGGTTGACTTTGACACAAAGGTTGGTTTTGATGTATTTTGTACATGACATGTAACAAAATAGGGGCCACGACGTCTTTTCTCCTTTTATTCTCACGGCAAGGAATGCACGAAACCAATAGAGGTGTCAATAAACAGAAGTTGGTTTAACTGTAAATATATGGAGAGGGCGTTGAAACCCGTGCTGCTGTCTGTTTCCGTGCAGTAAGCATGCTGTGTCGTGACCGTGAAGTTTTCTAGAATAATTTTAATTAACTGATTTTCAGTTTCCGCGCAATGCGATTGGTCTGCCATTGCCGTGACCTTTGCGTACCGTGACCTTTGCGTACCGTGACTGTGCCTTGTTGTTTTTTTTTTCATGTTTCGGCCATTTGATTGGATGGAGATTGGTCTGGCGTGTGCCTCGCCGTGTCATGACCGTGTTCGCGCCGTGAGCTTGTCACGTCATACGAAAACTGCTCATGTCCGCTAAATAGAGATACCAATATATTATCTTATGTCTACAGGCCTTGTTAACAAACTGTTGTCAGCTCGTTTCTGGATTCCATTGAGTCGTCTAACGTACAGTGTGTATCTTGTTCACCCTATCGTCTTGTCTGCCTACTTCGGCAGCACTCAGACTACCATGTATTACTCTGACGTTAACATAGTAAGTACGATTTACGCAGTTTTTTGATGTTGTTTTCAAATGCACCCAAATTGCATTCCATAAAACAAGCCATCTACCCCGATAGCTCAGCTAGTAAGTCGGTCTGTTGTGCGGTTCGTGGTTCAATTCAGGGTCTTAAAATAACCGAGGAGAAGGTGCTGCCTTTGTAATTTCATCAGCAAATGGTTGTGGTGTCCCTGCCCTCACGGAGGGGGAAACAAATCATAAAGGTTTCCTTTTGAACTCGGAAAGGTGATATAAGCATTTTCTGTTGAGAATATTTCCCCAGAAATATAAAATTCATTGGATGCATACTAGTTCATTAGTATGCAAGACCGAGTGCAAGACTGGTATATGATAAACATGGAAGTAAGGCCAGTTGTCCCAGTCTGTCTTATATTGTGTGCAACCATGTTACTCAAAATCCCTTGAGATATGAATAACAATGAAACAGCCGCCATGTTGGTTGATCCAATAAGAGAAGCTAATGAGGAATCCTTTGTATCGTCAACCAAGATGGTTGGTTATGATGTAACATGCACATGCTCTATATCACGTCTTTGTTATTCCTTTTTTTCTAGTCCTGGCATTTCATTGCTACTACTGCTGTTTCTTACGTCGTTGGCTTCATGGTGTCTGTCACGCTCGAAATTCCCATGATGCAGCTCGAGAAACTCATCTTCAAAACAGATCGCAAGCGTTGATTTGTAATAGACCCGTTTCGAATTCCAAATTACCGCTGTGTTCCTTCCAATCCGAAACGGGTCTATTGGTTTGTTTACACCAAATTCTATAATYGTTGTCGGGTTGAAAATGTTTAAAGCATTGGATCTAAGACCGAGGGGCATTATGGGTAGTCGATATCCTGTGATGGTTTGCACACAGACACATTTCTGAAGAGTGACAAAATGCTTTATTCGGTAATTAACTTGAATTTATGTTGAGTAGCTGCATAAATTTCAATATGCATGGTAATCTTCGTTAAGGAGCTCCCTATTTCTTGGAGAGAATAATAACAAAAAAATGATATTCATAATATTAGGCTCATCAACTGTTTACCCAAAACAACCTTCGTTATTAGCTACTACGCTTAGACGGCTTTATGAACCAGACAACGATGTTTGAATCTGGTGTACAAAGAAACCTCTTACTTGAAGCACATCGGAGGCAGCATGGAGGCAGCATACAACCACATCGGTGTATTCTAAGGTTCCATTCCTCAAGCATCTCTTTTAAATAAGCTATATATAAATGTTATCCAACCCAACAACCTTTAGACTGCTTTTAAGATTTGTTACCAAAAAAAGAAGTGATTTTTATTGATTCATGCACGTTTTAGTATGATTAGCATCGTTTTTAAATAGTAATAGTTGACTTGATTGTAATTCTTAGGTATTTTTAGTAGCTTACGTATAGTAGAAAATAGGTTAGATTGCTGGAATATAAATTATTCTAAATTAAACGAAATTTTATAAATTTAGTAGCTTAGTTATACCTAATATAAGATGGTCTATTAATTGTGACATAAATGATTCTCAATTAAAAATGAACGACCACCGTATTGATTTACTGGAGTGTTGAGTTTCGTACAGTTATATCAAAAGTAATTTCTACTTACTACAGTACAAAATGTACAGTAAAGCCTGGTTCACACGAGCAACGCAAACGCAAACGCAAGAAAACTACGTGTGAACTACAGTAACACAAACGCAAGGAATGGAWWWTTTTCCATTTTCTTGTGCTTGCGTTTGCGTTTGTGTTTTTAACGTGTGAACCGGAGAAAACGCAAACGCAAGCACAAACGCAAGACGTAGTTCACACGAGCAACGCAAACGCAAACGCAAGGAAAATACGTGTGAACTATAAACAATCACTACTGCGCATGCGTATCTTAATTTACTTGCATTTGCGTTGTACGTGTGAACATTGCTTGCGTTTGCGTTTGCGTTGCTCGTGTGAACCAGGCTTTTAAAAGGTAAAGCACCTATATTTAACGTCGGTAGTTCCTTCAGTCGAAATTCAACTGCTATCAATGGAAGCCGACGGTGCGCACTCTAACCCCCTCTCTCCATCAGTGCTCTGTTTTAAGAGTATTTACAGCTGAAGCTACACGGATTAGAGAGAAGTCGAAACAGACGTGGAGATCCTAAGGATCGAACCGTAGTCCTCAAAACTCTGAAGGTCGCGCACTAACCAACTGAGCTACGACTGCTCATAATCAGTACAAAGACCTCTTTAGATTGCAAACAATGTGTTTCCCTTCTGACAAGGACATGTCGTTCACTTGAGTCGGCGTGTTCATTTGCTTAAAGATATTTGCTAATCATTAATTAGAGTCTGCGAAATTACGGCTTAATATGGATGAGACTCAAACAAATAATCAGAGGACAAATCGAGGTATAAAATGGGCAAATATTCTTATCTTCTCTGACGTCTTGCGTATGGAAAAACGACTTCTGGGTCCAAACAAAAAGAACTTTTATGAACATTTATCTCAAATGTTCTTAATGAAAGGATTTGTTGTCCTGCAAAGTGGTTATGATTTCAGTTTGAGTTTAAATCGTTGAGTATACATTATACGCAGTGTAAATGATTTCTATAATTAGCGTTTTTACCGTGATCAGTTGGACCCGTCGACTTACAAGCTCTATTTAGCCCTGAAAGCAATGTAGGATAGATTCGCTTCCAATCTTCATCTTCGAAAGGGTAAATAAATATGAATGATATAATAAATGAGTTGCCATGCATTTTTTTCAAAGAATGAAAGACCTAGAACCTAAGAAAAGTAGTACAACGACTATGTCGAGCTAAAACGTCCATTTTGCAAGAAGTAAAAGTAAAAACGTTCGAGTGCGTCGTGTAGCGCATATAAAATAAGCATGCTTAACTTAATATTCATTTTAAAAGATTGCTAAAAAGGTTAAAATGGATAAATTAATCACGCAGCATCCAGATCAGGAACGTTACATTTTGTTTTTTACATTTCTGCGCATGCGCATGAATGAATAATTTAGATATACATCCTGAGCTCAATTATCTTATAGACGTGCATTATTGTTTGAGCCAAGAGCATTACACCCTTCGATTACTTGTTGACAAAGACCCTATCCTATAGGATTGTATGGCAGGTATTAAACAGGCCTAGAGAAAATTAAATCAATTGCTCCTTCATCATGTTTTCTTATTTCATACCACATGCGTTTTCCTTATTACCAATAACGTTGTTTTGCACTTAATTTTTATTTTTCCAAAACCCTAAGTAAAAAAAAAGTAAACGAAAGGAAGTTACACGTGGCCTGATATGAGAAAACATTACATTGTAAGCTGAAGAGTCTATACAGGCTTTGTACCACTGCAGCCGTGACGAGAGACAACAATAGGGGTTTTCCCCATGGAAAACTAATTTCTTTCTCAATATGTAAATCAGAGTAGACCGGATCATTTCCTTCCGTCATGGCTGCCATCACGTGATGGTATAAAGCCCCCTAAAGATGCGCAGATTGCATCTGCAAATTACAAAGTAAAATTAAAGAAAATAAAAATTTACAAATACATGCTTGTTTAGTGTGTCCAACATTCTCTCATACACTACTTTGCTGATGCAAATTTTCTTTCGTTGCAGTTTACTCAGTGCCAAAATACCAGAAATTTATTGAATTAATGAGGCAAAATGTGGCAACGTTCCACMCGTCAACACTCTGCCCAATGATTGAGATGGCGGAATAGAAAATTGGTATTTAGCACAGTAGTGTGTATTAACATACTCTTTCTCGCAGAGATTGATACTCTTGAACTAGTGAGTCTGTGTAATCCTGTAAATCAGCTCCTGCCTCTAAAAGAAGTTCAGCACAATCTACTTTGTAGAACAGTGTTGCTACATGTAATGGTGGCCAGCCATGCTCATCCGGTGCATTAACGTCTGCACCTTCATCGATTAATTCTCTCAGACGATCAACATTACCCAATGCAACTGCTCGATGAATGGGTGATCCTGATTGGCTGTAGTCCGGCTCGAGGTAACTGCTCATTGCATTCCTTACCAAAATATCGAATTTTGATTCTACTTCGAACTCAATTTCATCTGATTCGTGGCGATCGCTTTGCTCAACCGGCTGGTCAACTGGGAGACCATGTTCGTCTAATAATCTAGTGAAACACATCTCACCTCTTGGTCCTTCTTCAAACTCATCCTGAGTGACATCTTCCGAGACGTCGCCTGACCCTTTGAAGGTGAATTCTCCACTTGGGCCTGCTTCATATCGATCCTGGAAGCTATCTTCCGGATATCGATCCTGGAAGCTATCTTCCTGATCCACTTGTTCATCTTCACCTTCAGTTGTTTCAGGGACGTCGTCAGACCACGTGACTCGCTTTCGCTCACGTTTTGATTCATTTGTTATAGGAAAGGATTTTTTTCTCGATGAACTAGATTTTTTTCCTCTTGGGCCTTTGGTTTTGCGCATCGACCCTGCTCTTTTCAGTGTCGACTGTTCTTCCATGATATCCTCAGAATCAAACCCCATTCCTGCCGACTCACCGCACTCGTTTTCTGTCGGCTCAAGCTCGGTTTCTGCCGATTCCATTGCCGATTCTTTGTCTGGATCTTCAGGAATTCTTTCCATGCAAGATACATTAACTATTGATCTCTGGCTGATGTTGCAGTCAAACGTAAATTCAATATTGTTTATATGCTCTAAAATTGTACCTTGAATATCCTCATCATCTGGACTTTTAAGTTCTTTAGTCTGCGAGTTAATGTCTTGTTCATCACTTGTTGCAGACTCTTCACAACCATCAACTTCATCATAAACATCACCATCATACGATTCCACCACAGGCGACTGGCTCTGCTTAAATTCGACCTCGCTAACAAGGATTTCTGGGATTTCTATGTGTAGCTCTTCCTTTGCCTTTTGAATGGTGGCTTTTTCCTCCTTTACTTTTTCGTTAAGAAATTCATTTATTACAGTGCCTTGTGTTGTATTGTCTAGCTTTTCGTCATTTTCTTTGTTCATTTGCAATTCTTCAGCTTTATTATTTTCATGCAATAAAGCCTGCTGAAGTGCAAGCGCGGCATCTTCAGCATCTTGGTTTTCCTCTTCAACATTATTAATTTCCTCTTCGTGTGCTTTTTCTTCCTCTTTCGTCGACATCAAATCTTGTTTAATTGCTTGCTGCAAAAGGTCAACATCGTCGTTATTTTC